GAAATCGTTTTAATTGATTCGCTTATTCGTAGAAAAAGAAAAAAAATGTATACATCGTTTATATGTGTTTGCATATGCATATTCGTGTTTACGTATAGCGTTGTCATTTAAATTGCATCATTAACTTCTGGGGTAGTGTCACGTTGCGCAACCGAGCGACACGAGTAGGCCGGTGCACGTGACACTCGAGAATCGATCTAATTGCGATTTATAATTCAAGAATTGAACCGCGAATTCAGCGTGTTATTTTCGTTGTAAGACATATAAGAGCGAGTAACGCGTGTCCATCTATGCTTTTTAAAAGGAACGTGATTCTTGCGATGCGCGCAACACGTGTGTGTCGTTTACGTCACGTGGTTTGTTTCTTCGCACCGTTGCAATGCGTCTACGCATGCGCGAATCGATCCCCTCATTTATCGGTCGCGATCACTTGAATCGCGACAGTCGATCACGAGTATCGAGTTCTCCTTAAATACGAAATACGAAACCGAAGAGTTTATAAGTCGTTATAAATATAGATAGATTATTGAGACACTTCGGTAAGAAAAATCAACCAAGTCAAATTTTCTTCTCGATGCGCTCAAAAAAACAGGAATTCCATAAGCATATAAATGTATATCCTATACGCGTCGTTTCGTCGTTTACGGATATCGTGGCAATGTTATTATTTCATGGAAACGTGATGGCCGAAATGTGAATTCGAGAATAGGAAGGAATAGTAATAACGTTTAACGCGACTCACGCGCCGGTCGGATCAATTCCAACGCTTGCCCAATACTACGTAATTATTTCATGTGTGCGTGACGCGCGCCAAAGGTTTGCTATTATTATCTCCATGGAGAAATATTGACCCCACATAAAACGAAAACCGCGCGCATACACACACACACACACATATCGTTTATCGATACGATCTTCCCGTTATAGGACAGTTTGCACAATCGAACTACTAGTTTCGCTATGCTCTCGCGTTTATAATTACCGTTTTCCCACCGAGACGTGGAAATTTCTACATTTTTATCGATCGTTCGAGGAAAATTATGTACAATTGTTAACGTTGCAAAATTATTCTAATTGCGATTCTACCAGCCATTCGATAATTTCGCGTTCGGAATACCGCGCTCTGCGTCTTATTATTCTCTAACGAATCGTTCGCCAGCGTTTACGAGGGGCCATAAAGTTTTAGGTCGGGCAGCGTGTGTTCGCTGCTCTCGATAAATTTTCCAGTTTCACGAGAAGGGGGCGACAACCTCGTCCCTCCGTATTACGTTCCTGGTATATGCGCACACGTGTATGCGCGTTTCACTGTGTATTCCCATACACGCGTCACGCGTAAGTACGAGCTCTTAGGGCTCCCGTTAGCGCACGCTAATATACACATAAAGAAACATGTAATGGCTAAATATGACTCACCGAGAATGTGTCGTGTATCTGATTCGGTTCCTCGAAGTATGTACTCGGAGAAGATGGTCGATTACCGGTGATCAGAATGGAAGTGTAATTCTCTCCTTCTTCTCCTCTTCGTCTACGATAAAACGGTATTACGTTAGAGTATGATCATCAGTTAGGTTAGGAAACTAACTTTTTGTTACTCGAATCGAGACACGCAACGGAATTGGACGAAATTAAAAGAATCAAGCGGAAGTGCATGTGGGCTCGATTTCAAAACACGGTAACATGTTTCGTGGACTCGTGTTACGTGGATGGAAAATTCGATGATTCAATGAGAGAGGTTATTTGTAATCGTTTCGAGAAATTACGCGTATATATATATATATATATATCGATAGAATAAAATACGTAGGTTGGCGTGCACCCTGTCTACGTGCATTTCGTCACGACAGAAATTTTATGTGGGCGATGTTTTCTACTCTGGCAAAAATCGTCGGATCGATAGAACTGGCTGCGACGATGTGAGTCACGCAAGCCCGTGTATACGTAACTTCGCGAGTGAAATTCCAGGTGATTGCTCAATTTCGAGCGGGCTTCGTGTCTCAGCTATACACCTCTCGACATTGCAACGGAAATTAAGAACCCATTTACCCGAACTCGATACTCTATCTTTTTGAATCACTTTTATTTTATTCCGCTCCGCTGTATTTTATCGTAGATTTTTTAAATGGGAAATAAATTACGGTTAAGCTGTGCTCTTTACGAATTTCATTATCATCGAGATTTTTCATTTTTTTTTTTTTTTTATTAATATTATATTATACTAACATTGTCATTTGCAGCTTTTAAACTTAATAAAAATTATATCGGAATACTATATTTGTTAATACTATTTGCTAATAATCGGATGCAATTCGAGATTTAAGCGTCAGAATTCATAGATAGATCTAATTAATTCTTACTATATATCAAACTGTTTCAAAGATCTTTGTTTACCGACTCGAGTCACATTATCCCTTAGACGGAGAACACCTGTTTTAGCTAGCGAGTCCAACGATATATAATATTATATAATATATAATTCAATAATAAAAAGAAGAACATGAATATACATATACGAAAATATATATAATTACAAATTTTTCCCATGTGAAAATGTAATACAATATTCGTGAACATGTATAACGCGACTTATACATGTATAAATATATCGAGGTCTCCAACGTGTTTCTTTTAAATTTTTATCCGCCTGCCCTCTGGCGAAAAATGTCGAAAGATTATCTTCAAGTACGAGAGGTGTAATTACCTTCGACTCTGCATTATGAAACGTCGATATTGGTCGTGTTTCCCAGAAACGTCGAGTGAAACAGTTTCTAACTAACCGTGACGCAGCTAACATGAAGATAATTTAAGGTATAAGATACATATAATCGATAGAGGGAAGGACACGCGGCAGACTTGACAGATTGTAAAACTACAGCTGTGCGAGGTCATAGAGGCACGTTTCTCGACCAGAAGTACGTGATTAGAAGAGATTCACGTATACGTCGACATATTTACCCGGATGGTAAGGGGCTTCCGCGATATAAGCGGCTGACATTCACTTCTAACGAGCGCGTACAGCACGTGGATAGAAGAAACGCACGCGTATACGATGCAACGAGACCCTTACGTAACTCTGCCCGCGTGTTTCAACGGTTAATTCACAAGCTTGCCGTTTCGATTTCTCTCTTACTCTTTCTTGCGCGCACGAACGTGTCCTCTCATTCACTCTCATTGAGTCGCAAGTTCGATATCCTAACCTACTCGAATGGCATATTTCGTTTCTTACCGAAGTTAAATCAATATATAGCGTTAATAAAAATTCCTTAGAAGATTAATTATTCGACAAGCGTAAATAATTGGCAAAAAGTATGACGAGATTCACCTATTTGTAGACAGGTTTGATAGAAGAGAGTACCAGGGAAAGTATATATTGGCTTATTCTTTCTTCACAAAATAAATACACTTTATAAATTACACTATTATAAATTAAATTTTGCTCACATGCATTTCCCGTATACGTAATATAAACGACACAAGCGAATATTCGAATGCAAAACGGTATTTTTTCAAATTTTTTATCAAAGCGTCACTATGCCGTGGTATCCGTTAGAAATTCCACCATGAAAACTGACGTTTCTTCGATTATCGAAATTTTGCTTGATCGCGACTTTTTAATTATCGATTATCGAGGGGATGCGCGCGTCGCTCTGCAGCGTGACGTCATAAGCGTAACTAAGCAAATCGTTTGTTTCTTTCGAAATTAGATTATTTCAGTAATTAAGAAGTTAAACCGATATATAATGTTAATAAAAATCGTTTAGAAAATTAATTATGTGAAAAGAGTGCGATAAATGCGCAAAATTGAGACATATAAATATAAAAGAATATTTTTCTGGTCGGCAGATAGAAAAAAAAATCATAATTTATGATAAAAGAATTTAAAAAAATACAACAAGCGTAAATAATTCGTGAAAAATACGATAAAACTTACTTATTCACTTAGGTGTCTTTGATAGAAGACAATATCAGGGAAAGTATATGTTTCTTCGCACAATAAATACACAATTATTAATTAAATTTCATTCTCACACACTTCTCCTACGCGTAATACAAACGACACAAACGAATATTCGAATGCAGAACGGTTTTTTTCTCAAATTCTTTTATCAAAGCGTCACTATGCCGTGGTACCCGTTAGAAATTCCACCATGAGAACTGACACTCTTTCGATAATCGAAATTTTGCTTCATCACGATCTTTTAATTTCGATTATCGAAAGAATGCGCGCGCCGCCCTACAACGTGACGTTACGCGAGCATTTCAAATCATCTATTTTTTTCGAAAATAGATTACTTCGTTAATTTCGCTTACAAATATTGAAATACAATGTATGATTCACGAAGGAAATTAAATTTATTATCATTATTTAAATTATCATCATATTGATTGATATTGATGCATAACATAAGGAATGCTAGTTTAAAAAAAGAAAATTACATTGCATTTCCGTTAATCAGCACAAATATACATAAAATCCATTTGTATTATAAATGCCGAAGCTCGAATAAATAAATATTTTTATTTATTGTTGTAATCCATAAACGGATAGTGTCATTAGAGCACGTGGCACGTTTCGCAGGGACACACGTGCTTTCTTACATAACTATCACTTGGATTATGCTCACACGTTCCCTAACGATAAAGTCAATACGAAAACATTCGAGCATTTTAACAAGCACACGTGAACACAAATTAATTCTAATTGTTTAGAAGTGTATGTATTGTGTATGTAATAATAAATAGATAAAAAAAATCGATAATATTCAACAGATAACTATACTATTGTTTCGTAGGTCGTGAATTATCGTGGAAACCACCTTTTCCTCAACTAATTACTAAATCGAGGTATCGAGTTTATCGCGCTTGTAATTAACACGTTACGAGAACCCGTCCATCGTAATATTTGACCACACAATCGCATCCGGTAACTTATATAATTGCGCCGCATGCCCTGGCAAAAGTTCACGCGTGTGTCATCGTTGTATCGCGAACGTTTCAAGTTTAAATATTATAAACGTTACACGAACACCATTTTCATTCGTAACGACGCTTAACTTTTTACGCACCACCGAATTCGTCAAAATTCGTCGTATCTTTGCGTAATCTTTAAATTTAGAGAAAATTCAATTGCGACCGCATTTGCGCGGCAAAATTTCGAACGAATTTTCATCCCAATTATTCCGAATTAATATCAAAGTGATCGACGAGATCAAATTTTTTACTCGACTGGCGGGTTGGGTTCGCTGACACACCCGACCTTGGGGAATAGCCCGACCTTACCCAAGGCTATTTTGCGACTTGTATACCCGGACCGGTATTGTTGGCAGTACGGGCACGTCCCTCGATCTCTCGGAATTCTTCACCTTTGCCTTTCGTCCCGTGCCACTCTCTCGACTGTATAACGGTCACGAGACTTTACGAGAGGAGATCACCTCTCCTTGTTGTGTTGAACACGATCCTACCACGTTGCCACGCCTACGCGCGGCGTACAACGAAACGATCGTCCTTCGGAGGCCCGAAATATGCGGCGTATCTTCGCCACGTTGCCGGCATCGGTTGTATAAACGATTTAACGCGCTCACCGTGCAAACACGGCGTTAAGGCAATGATCTTAGGTGCATGCGTTACGCGAATACAAATGGCCTCCTCATGTATACACAGCGCGCGCACCTTGAACGTACACTTAACGGCGCGTGACTATAATACTACTACTTGGCAACCGTCCTCGGTGATTTTTTCTTTTCTTTTTTCTTTTTTTTTTTTTTTTTTTTTTTTT